ATCATTCTCTCAATTCGTCGGCCATTTTTTTCTGACGTTTGCAAATATTTTAAAATCATATAAAATTTAAAATAAAGAAGTGAAATTGTTCACATTTGTTGTTGTTTGAGATTAAAAAAAAAAATGAGAATGTGTGTGTGAGCTTGAGTTCGAATTTTAAAATTATATTGCTGGCAAACGTCAGACTGTGTCTCAATGATTTTACCTTGTAATGTTTTTATCATGATTAGAACAGCAATCAGACTCAGGGAACTCAAGATTATAGAATCTCTTCAAAACTGTAATGGGGGTGCTCAGATCCCTTCAGCAATTTTCGCCTCGACCCAACACCCGTTTCTTTTTAGTCTGCAGGTGGCCTTAAAAGTTTCCCCACGTATGAAGACACAAAGTGACGGTAAGTGCAGCAGTGCATTAAGAGCAGCTCCAGGTGTTGTAGAGAAAGCTCCCGTACAGCACACGGCAATAGTTCTTTGAAGTTTAGCAAGCAGTCTTCCCAGCGTTGATGCCTTCGCTGCAGCTGTCTATTTACGAGCGAAACGAAAAACCGAAATTGCCTGCAGTTTAGTCATGTCAAAAACTCATGCTGCTCTGCTCAATTCTGGAGCTGCGCCTGGAAAATTTGTCATAAGTAAATTATCGTTGCATATCGATCGGAGTATCTTTTGGCCAGACTCTTCTTTTTTTACAAACTGTGGCCGTGGTATTTACCCTCACCAAATGGATTACTGCTCCCAATTTTAGCCATGAGTTCAGGTGGTTTGCTGGACCCGAATTTCTGTTCTTACCGGAGGACGAATGGCCGACAACTAAATTCGGATGTTTGGCGAAAACTCCAACGAGTTACTTTGCCATATTGACACGGCGCAGAAAGCAGCGTTTTATCAGATAGGAAAAATAACGACGAGTACAATGGTGTGTTCTACAATTCCTACGCATGATAGCCTGAAATGGCAATCGGTCAGCGAAATGCATGGAGTTGCTGAGCTGGAGCACATCACCATACGCTAAGAATCAACTTCAGGTGAAAAAATGATTCGCGTTGAAAGAGGTGACGCTATATCTCGCAACAAATTTTCGCCTTATCTAGATGAAACGAATGAATTTATATATACAAATTAGCACACATATGTTATCCACGCCCTCCTTTCATCTCATTCTCCAATTTGTGTCATTTTATCGGTCACCCTTCCCCCCGCCGTTTTCAACATTTGTCATAAATGGTAAGGGCAGCGTTAATGACGGCAGATTATAAAAAACAGCTGTTTTCTAAATATAATTTCATTAAAATTATTGCACGAATGTGTGCACAGATTGGTTTTAGAATCTGCGGTAAGCGCACATTCTATTATTGTATTAGGGTTTTTATTTCAACCAGTCCAATGCAAATAACAAACATGCAAATGCTCCGGAAGCAATAATAAGTGCGAGATTAAAGCGAAATGATGTTGTAACTATGTATCATGTCGTGCAGTGGCCATCATTGCAGCTTGTGTTCCCAGTAGGAAATATCCGTCATTTCGAACTTGTGTTAGTTAAAATTCGTACATTCAAAATTATCGAAAATAAAAAAAGACAGCTGCGTTGACCCCAGTCGAAACTCGATAACGCTATGATGGGTACCAGGACACTGCCGGATTAAAGATTACAACATCGCAGACGGACTGGCTAGTAAAGGCTCAGCGTACGCCTTTGTGGGACCGTAACCGTTTTGTGGACTCAGTTGGTCGTATTCGCGACTGATAACTACAGAGTGCATACACTCAGAACCCTTTAAGTACTGTGGAACGGTAGGCGGCTTTAAGTATCTTGAAAAGACTTTGGCACAAAAAAAACAAATTACCACAAAGACTTGATTTTGAATTTTTAAATTTTTTTTTTTTTGTTTTTTATATGTCAAACAACTATCAAAATTAGCTCCAAATAGCCAATATCCTTTAGATTCTCCACAGCCGAACCCCTTAGAACATTTTTTTCTATCAAGCTTTAATTGCAGATTAGATATAAAACTATATTTTTAGTTTGTCTACAAATCACCTAATGGCAGCAGCGAAAGCTCGCCCAACTCCAAAATTAAAAATTTTTCCCCCGTACACGAGATTTCCTTGAAGGCAGCTTATGCATTTGCCATTGTTTTCGTTGCCTAAATATGCCTTCCGGTTGCGAATTTAATTAAAATTTTAATTTTCGGCAGCAGTATTGAATGTGAAGAAGGTCATTTTTGTAGTTCATTTTGTTGTAGTTTTCGTGACTCGGGTCGGTGCTTTGCGGTTACATAGTCCTTTTATTATTGTTTGTGGTGTTTGGCTTTTGCTCTGCTTCTAATTGATAACGCGGGATAACATCAGGACAAACAACAGAGCGTATTTGTATGCGTTGAAATATTGTAGATAAATACATACCGATGTATGTATGAATGTGCATTAGTATGCCTCACCAAATAAAAAAATGCTTTTTTCCACCGAAATTATAAAATTTTGATATCATAATTTAAGACTTCCGCCAAAATATTTCTGGACTTAAAAATCTCTCAAAAAACTGATTTATTTGATTGCGTTGAAAAATTTTCAAAAGTTTTATGCAGAGCTTTTAAACTTAAACTCTTCCATCATCTGAGATAATTTTTTCGGAACAAATATTTTTAAAAAGTAATTTTATTTATAAAAAAAACTCGATTTTTGAAAGTACTTTCAAATGGGTCCAGCTCACGTAAATCTTTACATTTTTTCAAATTTTTTTGACGGAGGTCTTAACATATTGTGGCAAGACCTTCGGCAATCCGGCGCGCACAACAATCAAAATGGCAGAATGTTCGAGGATTGACGTAGAATATTCTACAGCGAGAAACGTCAAGTGGATGAATACTGCGAGCAACGCGAGAATGAGAGAATGTGAGAATGAGCGATAGACGGCAGAACGTTCTAGAGTTGCGATTCAACAAGCTATAAGTTCAGTTGTGTTAGCAAGTATTGTAAAGTGTTGTAAATAATTGCTTTGACCAGTATTGTTAGTTGTTGTTATTACATAAACAAGTATTGTAAAGTGTTTGTTGTACAATAAAGTTAATTGTACTGTAATTTGGTCCACTTGAGCGTTTATTTAACAATCCAGCGTTACGAACCGAACGGAATTTGGTAAATCCATCAAGTAGTCAAGAAAAATCGTAGCGATATAAAACATTTTATAATTCCAAAGGAAAATCATTACCGATTTTTTTATGGAGAGTAATGCACCCTAATGTGCATATATGTGAGTTCATAAGTACATATGTATTGCAAAGGCGTAGAAATGAAAACACTGCTGAATTTGCTGCATTGTTTTCTACGGAAATGGCTAATGCTGTTATCTTGCTTTTGTTGTTGTTACTGTGGCTGCAATTTGTGACAGGAAGTGGTGCTGACAGCAGTTGCAGTTATGCGGTCGCTGTTTTGAAATAATATCCAACTGCTTTTGGAGCATTATCGCGTGGCATATTTGTATGCACATTAGGATGGGGTTTTTTTTTTTGGGAAAAAATCCACTTTCAGTGAAAAATTAAAAAAAAAATCATTTATCGCATTCGATAGCGATCCAACCTGTATATAGGCTTCGAAGTTCTTCCCAAAGAGCAGATCTGGGATCATCTAGTCAATCCGTCCAAGTAAAGTTGACGCATACTACTGTGTCCGAAGGATCGCACACAAACTGTACCGTAGCATAAAGTGGCAGTTGTGGGCGTTTTATTCTCGGCCAATAGGTCCGCCGGCAAGAGATGCAGCAGGATGTAAAGTACTGCCGTTGGTGTTGTCCTGAGTCATTGATAGCCTATATAGCGAGTCGCCTAACTCTCTGATAAAATTTTTGGGCACTTTTCTTGTCGGCCAACATTCTAAGTTCTTCGCACTCCCGTATTTCGGTCCTACCTTTTTATCCCAATATATGTTCCACATAGCTCGTGTTACGCACGATCGCAGCGTTGCCCAGTTTGTTGAAAAGTGCTCTCTGAAAGCGCGTGTGAGAGTCGAGTGGCGAGTTATCGGTCTGTTGTGATTGAAACTTTTCGGCGTTAAGTTTTTCTTGAATACATTGCAGAACGCAATATTTTCCGGCACGGAAGATACTATTCCTAGTCAATATTTGAACTTTGGAGTGTACGTTCATACAAAGCTCTGGAAGCGTGCCTTGCGTTTATTAGAACACGTTAGATTTGCTTTCTTGTTTTTCGGTCCGTATAGAACCAGGTAGCTTGATGGATCTTTTTATGCTTCCACCTAGTACTGCAAAATATCACGTTTCGGTCCCCGGTACAGTCGATAAGCTGCAGCGCGTGCGTTTCAAGCGCTCACAGAATAGGTATTTGGTCCCACATCCTCACGTGAGCTCACATAAACTAAAAGGGAAAGAATCTCGCCTTGATGAGAATTGGGCCAAGAAACTCACTCACCGAGGCGAACGACAGTACTCGGCGACGGCCACCACAAATCCCATACAAGTTTGGGTCCCTTTAATTGGCAGCTATAGTAGACGTCTCAAGGCCTTATGCGTCTTACTGTTTTTGCCCTGTCCAGCGCATTTCTTGGATGATGTTCAGCGATGCAGAGCCACCTTCCCTATGAAGGACCGGGCATTCCAGGTTTAGCCCACAAATCTTTGTCTTTTGTACGTTTGCCGTGGTCTTGAAAGAGAGTCTCGTCCTAGGTTTGATTTCACCTCCTCTTTTACCATTTACATTCATTGATAAAATGGTAAAAATCGTACACTATTTCCCCCAAGATTTAGATACTAGAAGCCTACGCTAACAGTCAGCGTCGAGACTGACAATTTTGTACATTGTATTTCCTTCCGTGGGATTCAAAAGTCGTTGGTACAAGTATACATTATCGTATTTTTCTCACTATCGCTCTTCGCTTTTAATCGCCTATTTAACAGAGCAGCAATAAAACACACATATCGCTTAATATTGGATAATAAAATGATTTGTATTATGTCATACTAAACATTAAGAAAGTGAATAAATATGTATATTAAATAAATAAAATAAATAGCAAAACGTAGATTATATGTATGTATGTATATTGATGAAACTGAACGCAATGCGGTAAAATTTAACAAACTCCTGCAGTCAGGAATGGGGTACAATTTGGACAGCGCTATTGCAGCCAGCCAACCAGCTTCAATATATAGCGAAAATATGGCGTACGCTTTTCACCACCAAATCAGGCAATTAAAAAATTATGACATAAGAAAAATCTGTATGTATGCGTGGATGTATGTTTGTAGGATTTAGAAATACCGTAGCTTGGAACGAGTTTCTAATACAGAAAATAGAAAAGTGCGCACCTATTTTGCAGCGCGACGTTTTGTCAGCGGCGTAGTAGGCGTCGGCGGTTTTATCTGAAAGTAGAAAATTCATTTTTGTATTACACACACACACACACACACATCGACATACCGCAGCTCTTATTGGCTTAGCGGTGGCAGCATTTGCAGGAGGAGGCTCACGTGGTTGGGGACCATCCGCATCACCGACTACTGTCACCGCCACTGGACGATTCTCGGATGCCATGCGTTCGATGCTCTCGCTACGCGACGTCGATCCGGCACGCTTAAACATACCCGACAAGCGGCCACGTAAGTCTTTTTTGCTGGCGCGCATATCACTGGCCACACTAATGTCAGAGTCAGATCCTTGAACCTGCAGTGGAGAATATATTAGCAAATAAGGGTAACAGCAAATTACATGCACTTTACTCTACTTACCGAAACTTCACTCTCGGAATTACGACTACTCTTCGTTAGACTTCGTAATTTGCCCATTAAGCTCTTCTTCTTCTTGCGCGGACCGCGTGGTATGTCGCTTTGCGTGGATCCACCGGATAGACGTGAGTCAAAGCTACCGTCACGCACCATGCCACCCAATTCGGAATCAATGGACTGCATTGAGGAGACGCTGCCATCATCCTGACGCCAAATATTCTGCAAAGTTTTAATATTGTTATTGCTATTCAAAATAATCGCACAAACAACAACCTGATCCTTCTGTATCGAATGATCCAATGAAAGACTCTTCCTTATCAAACTACCATTATGCGGCGAGGTACGCGTTAATCTCGCACCATTGCGCGTCGAGCCGGCTGCGCTTGCCACCGAACTCTGACTGCCGTGCGGATCGTTTTCCTGTGATGCAGCGCGTCGCAAATTACTGCGTCGCATGCGCGTACGCTCATTCTCATCTTCGTTGAGCCGTTGGAACTTGCGCAGCTCTTCAGATGCTTCAGCCAGTCGTGCAAGTACATTTGTAATTTGCATATTATTTAGAGCGCTATTTGGTGAAGGACTACGACTACGCTGCCGTGCTGTACCTGCCTGTTCAGGCCGCAATGTGTTACCACTGCTCGAAGAGGAGCGGCTACTTGCCGACGCTATCTTCAGGTCTGGCGCTATCTTCACCAATTCATCGACAGTTTGTAGCAGCGCGCCAACTTTACGCTCACCGCCATCCTGTTCCATGCGACGTTTCACCAACTCTTTTTCGTAGCGTTCACGTTCGCGTCGCAGCTTTTCGTTGGATGTGCGCAGTTTGGCGTGTACGTCACGCAGCTCCAGCAAATCGCATTGCAATTCAGCGATCTTGCGTCGTCCTTCCTCCATCTCCTCTTCGGTAGAGCGTTTCAATTGATCCAAACGACGTTTGGATTCCAATCGCTCTTTGTCACGCTCACGCTCAACCTCGAACAGTGTTTGCCGTAAATCGCGCGCTAATGTTGACGTTTCTTGTAGCAGACGCTGTTGATCTTCGCGCTCCTTTTGCCAAGAGAGTTCGAGTTTTGTCTTCATACCTGGTATTTTTGTGCGTCCTGAACCGATGACACGTTCCTCTTCGAATTCATTTAGTTTTGATTGCATCTCGGATATTTTGATCTCATTTGCGCTGCGCTCCGATACAAGTTCCGTCTTTACCTTACTTACTTCGAGGCGTGCCTCGACCAACTGATCCTCTAGGCAGCCGATCTGTAAAACAACAAAAAAAATAATAACATTTTTTTGAAAGTAAAGCTAATTTAAGTGCAAACCTGTTGCTCAAGGTAAGCAATTTTGCTTTTGTCATCGTCATCACTACTGTGCATCGAGCCACGACTTTGGCGACCTGTGCTGCTGGCTTTGAGATCGCCGATCTTCTTTTGTGCCGATTCCAGCAACTGCTTGAAGGAATCCCGATCCTTCTTAAACTTCTCACATTGGCGCTGTAAGGTAAACCAGTAAATAATGGAGAAGATTTGCTGGATTAGGTATAAAATATATTTAATAAATTAATGGAGTGAAGGATTCTGTATAATCGGACGGATCAATTTCTCCACGAGGGAAACCAAACATTCGTTTATCCCTTTGTCAAAGAGAGAGTGTCATAACTTTTAGGCTGCTTTCCATGACGTTATCTTTTTGACCATCACGGCGTGTTCGGCGAACGAGGAAACATTCTGGGCCCTCAAGTCTTGCTGGGACTCTTGAGTCAAAGTGCCTTTAGCGGATGAATCCTCATGACCCTTTTGGGGTCAACGGCTGAGGGTCTCTTTCCGCTTAGGGCCAGTAGTAGGGAGCGTGAAATCTTTAGATGGATAACATTCTGGGCCCTCAAGTCTTGCTGGGACTCTCGAGTCAAAGTGCCTTTAGCGGGTCTCTTTCCGCTTAGGGCCACTAGTAGGGAGTCTGAAATCTTTAGATAGTTGCTCAATTATCAGGATAGGAAGGCGGCCTTTTGAAAATTATTGCCAACGAAGAAACACGAGTTAATACAATATCTCTAATGTTCAAGCTTTCCATCTGTGAGAAGAGTTTGGAATTGATCCTGAACACACGGCTTTTCTAGTGCACATCAACACCCATCTAGTGCAAGAAACACCCAATCTAGCTTGAATGCCTACATCTTTCGACCGTCTTAAGTGGAGCACCGACTCGATGCCTACAATTGTAAACTCTTTTGAGTAGAGAACAAACCTCTCAGTCGGTTCAGCACATCATTATAAAGCCAATATCGATACCAAGGCGTCGGTCCTTTTCAGCGATGTTTGGATTTTGAAAGCTGCCTATTAGAGGCAACTTTGATTACGCACACCAGCCGAGGAGGAATAGAAAGGGCTTAAAAAATTCGCTCTTCCTAGTTGAGCGGTTCCTACTGATTCGCCAAGAAACTGGGCAACCTGAGGTCCTTACTCCAAAAGTGATGATATATTTCACTTGATTCAAATGTCAAATAAATTTTTGTCTATACCTACCTGCATAGAAGTCAGTTCGCCACTTAAATTTTTGACTTGTTGCTCGTATCGCAGACGTGTTGATGCTACCTCTGACTTAAGTTGCAATTCAGAGTTTTGAAGCCTAGAAAAAAAAACGAAAAGATATTATTTAGATAGGGAATTACACATAGACACATACAGTTAGCTAACTTCTTTCATACTCACTTCGTTTTCAGCGTTTTAATTTCCGCCTGCAAACTGCTACTGTGCTCATTAATCGAATACTGCGCCTGTTCGATGCGATTAAAATCACTTAATTTACCACTTAGGTCCTCATTTTCCTTACGCAATTGGAATACTAAATCTATATTCATCTCATTCTCCCTTCGTAAACGATCATACTCTTGCTCTCGCTCCGCCAATTTATTCTTCAGCATTGTCTTTTCATGCTCCGAGGCACCATTCTTGATTTGCTTCGCTTCAGCCTCTTGCAGCTTCTTTTTCGCTTCGCTCAGCTTCTTAGCCATCTCTGTGCGTTCTACGCGTATTTCATCCATTTCACTTAGTTTCTGGCGCAACGAACTGATTTCCACTTCCATATTATTCTTCTCGGTGGTTAGTTGCGCCCGCATTAGTATCGTCTCTTCAGATAACTTTTCCCAATGCGAATTCAAATCCTGATAGCGCCTATTTTCATCGGCTAGCTGATTTTGCATATCCTCGAGCTGCTTTTTCAGTTCCTGCACTTGTTTGGAATCCGATTTGGAAGATTTAGTCTTCAGTTCCTTCATTTCCTTTTCATGCGCTGCTTTCGCTTTTTCTGCTGCCTTCTTAGCGCTGCTCAGATCTGCTTCCAGCTGCGACAATTTCGATTCGAGCTTTTCTCGTTCTTTGCGGTCCTTCTCGTAATCCTTTTCTAGCGCGGACTGTTTTTCCTTGTCACGTTTGGTTTGCGTTTCTAAGGCGGACTTGGCGGCTTCCACTTGCTTGATCTGCAGGAAGAGGAAAACCATTTCTCTTAGTTTGGATTATTGTGGTGAAGTGGTTGTGTCTTACCTGATTATCTTGCTTTTTTATTTTATCTTCCAAATCTTTTACTTTGGAACTTAGCTTTCTGGCTTCGTCATCTGATTTTTTCAGCTTATGTTCCAATTCGCTTAGCTTAGGAGTAGAGCTGGTCAATGTTTTTAGTCGTTCTGGAGAAAAAGAAAATAAGTATGAAAGATAGAAACTTGCAATGAAAGAGCCTTCAGGCGGCATAGCGCTGCTTTAAAAGATGTTTGTAGAACAGTATAAAGTTACACTCGACAAATTTGATCTTCTCAACTCATGGAAGCTTCTACTTTGCAGGGGGACCAGCCACCAGCTGCTGTAACTTCACCTGCGCTATACAGCGCTTGACCTACGGAGTATGTACCCACCTCGCAGGAGCTACATACAAGCAGACAAGGACCTAATCGCGTTCTATCTTAAGGATCCAAAAAGATCACGGAGAATCTGGTAGCAGTTCAGTAGCTCGTTTCTGTAACTCTTCTCTACCGATTATTTCTCTACGGGTAGAGAATATATGTCATTCTCTACTACTTGTTTGTATTAGAGAACAGGGCGGCGAATTCATATCTAAATTCGCCCTGGTAGAGAATTGTTACAGAAACGAGCCACAGATATTGCTAAAAGTTGGTGAAAAATCGACGTGCATTGTATTCACTGCGCCTATTTTCCGGGGGACAATAACCGCCTCCTACCACGTGAAGTACAGTAGCTTTTTGTGTACAGCAGAAAGAAAAAGCGTCCGCTAATCGTCGACTGCAATGCGAACTCTCACAGAGTTGACGGGGAACATAGACACGAACTGGAGTGGTGAATCCCACACGCTCAGAGTAATGGTACTTGACATTAGTTGCGACAACAGGCTGTCCAGTACTGTGATCTCAAAATAACGAGTCTTTTCGGAACCCTCCTTGTCCGTTCATAGAAGTTTTTCGGTTTGAGCTAGGAGCTATGAGGGAGCGAGAGTCGTTCTAAGAGAAATGCCAGAAAGACTAACGGAGAAAACTTTAGTAATTTGCTCAGCATGAATTTTTCTAGGCTAACGAACGAAAATATTACAACTAACTGCATGGAGTAAGAACACAAAGATAACAGACTGAATAGAATTATCACAGATGCCTTTGACTTAAGCTTTCCTGTAACCAAGTTAACCCCTTGGTAGTCTCAGAACCTCTTGGTGCTTAGGCTATTCAATAAAACCATACGTACAGGATGCTGGAATTATTAGCCAAGCTGGTCTGCCAAAGTACACCAAAGAGAGGGCATCTCGTCTACCCCTATAGCTGCAAGACTTCATACTACATTTTTGATGGTATTACTGTTAAACCATAGAATGAATTTCGAGAGGACACACCTTCTCCACCCGACTGTAAACTGGCAGAAACTTTATTCCCAGTCAATAATTCGGCGTTGGACTTGTTTGATCGCTGCGAATTCCGTAGAGTAGATGATATGAATTCAATACTGTTGTCATGAGATACAGCTTGTCTCTATTCTATGTTCTCGAGGCGTAGAGCAAAGCGCAGGTAGTTTTCATTCTGAAAGTCGACTTCTCTCTAGCAAAGTGATTTAGACTTGAAAGTCTATTATGCTGCTTGCTAAGAGCTATTTAGAAGATTACTGACTATGAAATAATATCTAACACTCTGAAAAAGATCCTTTTGCATCTCAACCAGTACGCGAATAGGACGGGATAGTTCACGAACTCTGCTCTGAGAAATAGTACGCTTTCGTACATATTTAAATGCCTTTTAGGAACTAAAGAAACGAAACTGGTAGTGGACGAACTTTTGCAAGTCCTCGCTGACAACGGCACCCGGTCCAAGGGATATTTAGTGTTGCTAACGAGGTAAACCAAAATTAACCTTTTGACAGCGCTTTCACGAAAAAAAGAGTTTCATATCATATCATCCTTGAAGTAAACTCTAAGCTGTGGTGGAAATCTCCCGTTGAAGCGACCACACCGTAGCCACGAGGGCGCTATTGGTAGGCAAAAGTTTAACAGAGAAGTCTTCGGGGTTTAAACCGAAATACCTAAAACGGATGTACACAAATAAACGAATTTGTTAAAAAGCAAAATAAATCATTTTTTAGACGTTCACGTATGTGGCTAGTCGGGGGCTTTCGAAATAGTCACTACATATGCTACTAAACCCACGCAGCTAGGAAGTAGATGCTGCCGAAATGATCTATCTGAAAATCAGCTAAACATTCCAGCATAAAATGAACCTTTGAAAGATATTGGGTCGTAACTATAAATATTTAGACGGAATTTCGAGGGCAGGGAAGGTAAATAAAATACGAAACCTTGTGGGGAAAGCGACGAAACGAACATCTAGCTAAAAGTGTATTTACAATACCTTAGCGGATGAATCTTTTTAACGTAATTTACACATTGCATACTTTTTATAAAAATTTCAGAACTCGACGCTGCTTTAGGATCTGAATCCCAATATTTCAAGGAAACAAGGGTAAGCTTTACTATATACTGCAGTGTAATGCAGAGAAGACACAGGAGTATACTTTGCTGTCAGAGCTTAGTCCCTCCTTCGTACTAGTTCAATTTGTTTATCCTTGAGGCCCGTAACAGTTTTGGTAGTCCCACATTCGTGAATATTTCGCTCAGAAGTGGGCGATATCGAGAGGCGTATATCATCGTTAAAAGTGAAAAACCGCATATCGTGGTTCCGCAAAATCTCGAAACTGATATTTGTACCAAAAATGAGATTTTCACACCGGAAGCTCCTGGCAACAAGCCTTATTTATTCATACTAAAATGTTGATATTTAGATGTAAAAGATAGAGATAATAAGGGATAAAAGCGGGAACCGTTTTGAAATAACAAAGGCTTTACCCTCTCTTTTAAAATATGGGTACCCTCACATACGAGCTTTTGTGGTTTAAACGACAATTCTATAGAGGTCTAGTTTATTAAGTATATTTCGGCTCTCGAAAGGAAGTATACGATCTCATTGGTAGTTTCTGTGAGGGTGGACAAATTTTTGTTCATCGACCCAAATTCGCTACAGTCAGGAATTAACGGGGTTCTAGATTGAATGTCTTGAACATTAAAACTTTCAGGTCTCTAACACGCGATCTTGGAATATGCAGTGCCTTAAAATTGACTGCTTCTAATTGTATTCGCACTCTAATAACCCTAAACATCATTTATGAGTACTAAATGTATAGATATTTATATCTGATTAAACCACTTCGATCAGAAGGTCTGGTCTGCCCTTTGCTCATCAGCGACATAGGTCAATAGACCAGATTCCTAAATTATACAGGTGACCATTTAGCCTAAAATGACCCGTCAAAATACCTATAATTACTCTTGGTTTCTCCTTAGGGATACCCATGAGTAGCCTGTTATCTCTTCAGATTGTACCCTGTTAATAAGCTTTTGGATTGACGGAGTCCCAAGGTATTACACCAATGCAGTTCCCTTAGCCTGGTGTTTTCTTTCCTGAGTGTTTTCTTTATCGTGTTGGAATCTATTGAAAGGAAGGGCTCCGGTCCTATCGGGGCCGAGGCAGCGCCCAGTCTAGATAGCTAGTCCGCTTCCTCGTTAACTTCGATTCGGATGGTATGGTTCTCAGCCAGAGCATTAAGAATCCACACTCCAAGACCATCGAGGATATTATTTTGAAGGATGACAGAGCTTTGAATGGCTCCTTGATATCGATTAAAATGAGGACCTTCTCGCTTTGATACTTCCTTCGAAGGTTAATCTCAGCACACACAGACTGATGACATAGACTTCAGCTTGGGGGATGCTGGGGAAAGCAACCAGTGGCACCGAGGGCTTCAGTCTGTCCATGATAGAGGTACATGGAGTACCTTGCTGTGTCCCTGCGGAGAGCACAACTAGAGGGAGCTGGGAGCTCAGCTTGTCCCTGTGCCCGGAAGACAAAACCTTACCTTTACCAATGCCCTCTCTCGCAAAGTTAAGGAGAGTCCGTTTTGCAACTGGTTCATTTGATAGATGCAAGATGTAGGTGTATTCTATCATTCTCGTGATAGATGCATTGGCTCAAGTTCCAGCACCACCCCCAGCGCTGAAGTCGGACATGCGCGCATTGCCCCCGTTATGCACACAAAGGCCAGAGGGTGAATCTTGGTGAGGGACTGCCTCACCGTTGCTAGGGTAGTCCTGGAGGTCCAAGCCTCCTCCCCATAGGTTACTTTTGGATATGCACCTTATCCATCCTAGGATCCTTCGAGTGCAACCCCAGGAATTCTAGTGAAAAATGGAATGCATAAATGCAAGGTCGTTGAACTTATTGAACCGTTCCTGACATAGTTTTTATGTTAGAAGGCAATGAGACTTGGGCAGCAGCGAGCAACTTCTCAGCTGGCATAAAGCAAATTTCCAAGACATTAGAAGGATTTAGACTAAGCATGGGAGATTGGCCTCATAGCCGCCAAGAAAAAGTACCTGATGGCATGCCAAGGCAACGCTAAGAGTTTGAGAATTTTTCAGATGATAGAACTCCGTTGGTTTCAGAAGGCCACTTTAGGTTACTGCAGGGGTTTACACTTTTTTACAGAAGTTTGAAATGAAACGGAACCCAAAAAATCCTGTACAGGTGTGAAGTGGTTCCTACGGGATGCACTTGAAAAGGGCGACCTGTAATTCGGATAGCTGGGTGTCCAGACATGCGTGTAATTTTGGAAATCGCTCAAGAAAGATGTCTAGACATCCACTGGCTATGCTTCAACCTTTTTAATAGGTGCAAGTACTTAACATGGTACATGGTACATATGTGTGCCTGAGTATAGTCTCTGCGGTGCAGAATACTTTAAGGGGGTTTCGGTTTCATGTAACTTAATATAAAAATAAAGTTCCTTTCAACAGTCTCGGAAGAATAACAACCATCGTATCTAATTCAAAATTTCAAACTCACCAATGTCACCTTCAGCTATATTCAGACGTTGCTTTGCCTTCTGCAGCTGCTCCTCCAAGGCTGTTTTCTCAGTCTCAAGCATCTTCAATTTGTCGCCACCACTATTCAGTACTATCACTCTCATTTCCCGTATCTCATCTTCCAGCTCCTCCACCCACTTTTTCAAGTGATTCTTCGGCGTGAGGTCTGTCACACGTTTCGGTGTACGCGTCGGCAGCTTCTGCTCGGATTCCAGTAAAATACGTTTTAGTTTACCATCTAACTCATTACGCTCGCGTTCCATCGATTCCAATGACTCTTTTAACTTCGTTAGCTCCTCACCATTTGTACCATTCTTATCCAAAGAAGAACTCTTGCGCAGCGCCTGCAACTGCATGCGTTTGTTATCTTTTAGCAGCTTTTCGTTTTCACTCTCCAACGTTGTAATTTTAGAACGCAACACCGATGCTTCTTGCTCCACTAATTTCAACTGTCGCTTCGCATCTATATTGGCATCTTGGGGCAGTGCTGCACCAATTTTAGCAACAGTCTCCGCCTGCAGACGTTCGATGGTGCGATCTTTGTCCGACAGTGTCTTACGTAATTGCATGAGCTCTTCATTGAGTGCTTTCAATTTCTTATCGGCTGCGCTCGTTGTTGCCGAATTGAATGAAAGCAAAGAGGATGAAGAGGGCTTTTTGTCACCCACCTCGGCTTGTTGTACTCGATCTTGCAACTCTCTCACTTGTTTTTTCGTCTCACGATTCTCGCGCTCTAGATCATCAACACGTTGCCGCAAAATCGATGCTTCCTGCTCGTTCAGCTCTAGAAGTATGCGCAGCTCAGCGGGATCGTCCTCATCGGAAATGCCTTCATCACGATCGGCGGCAGACTCGGGCACCAAACGATGTGGTATGGGACTCAGCTTGCGTGTTGCTAAAGAGTTGGAATTTAATGGTACTTCATAAGTCTAGTGGGAAAAGTATGCGCTCTCTGGGACAAGTAATGAACTTAGAGCATGCAAAGCCTCAGTGATGGGATTTATTGAAATACATAGAGTTCATATGCATTGAAGCGAACACGGGTTAATTTGGCAATGTATTATGTATGTGCGTATGGTGGTGGTTAGTTTTGGTGATGAGCAGCTGTAAAAAATGGCAAGTTCCTGGCAGTAAGAAGCAAATTTATATGACAAAAGTGGGTTAGTTTGTATCAAATTGGTAGATTGTAAATTTTGATATTTCAAGCGTATGTGTATACGAGTACTTATATCGTTCGAATTCGGAATTGTGTCCAAATAGGTATACAATTTAAAGAGGGTTAGAGGTATAATTTAATAAATGCTATAGATATAAAATTTTCGATTTCAAAATCATATGCGTACTTCTGGAGCGCGTTGCCATTTTTTTCAACTGCATCATTAGCGAATCATTTTCGTCCTCGTAACGGGCAACCTTTTTCCTCAAATTTTCAGCCTGAAATTGTACAATTAGAATTAGAAATGGTTAATATTAGTGGTTTTCAGTCATGCAATCCGTTTGAATACTCTTGAAATGTTCGTTTTTTATTTAAAGATATTTAAAAAAGGATCACCCTGTAGGACTGTGTCAGACTAATCACTGTAAGTAGTGAAAAGTCATCCACCTACCAAATACTCAATTCACATTTTCACGAGGAGCGCGGTGAATCGATTCGACGATGTACTCAAGAGTTTTTTTTTCAACAGATAATATCGTTACCACAACACCACAAAGTCAACATTTTTCTTGTCGAGATACACTTCTTCATCCTATCTGAAGTCGATTCTTTTGACCAGCTGATTAGTTTTCCACTTCTCAAAACCGACTTGGTGGATAATGTACAGCTTGCAGCGCGAACTTGTCGGACAACTTTTGATCAACACGAAAACAATGCACTTTTGCTAGAAGAATAAGATCTGTATTCTGTGATTGAACAGAACCAAGTAACTTGTTTTTGTATTATTGTTTTTTTCATAAGTTTTTTGTACCTTATTGGTTTTTAATTTCTCTTAATGGCTAAACAAAAAGGTTGTTTTTCAAGAATTCGGAGTTAAGAAGTACAACAAAACCAAGGAACTACTACTTACTTGGTTTTGTTCAATCACAGGAAAGATATGCTCTCACGGACCACAACAATCTTGGTGTAAGTCAAGACCTCTTGCCTATCTATCCAAGGAGGCAATAAATGATATGGATCCCTTGAAGAGGTAAGATGGCACATTTATTTTCTCTTAAGTAACTGACACGAAATACATTTTCCAGGTTCAATACTCTAAAGAGGAATTAGATTACTTCTGTCCCTCCTGAGTAAAAATAAAAGCTGCATCTATTGTATCTTTGACAAGAAAATTTTGCGATGGGTGGCGTAGTCCTTCGAATCGTTCAAAGATACGGGTAAACGTACCTATATATAATCGGACGAAAACTGCTGCTAAATCTGGAAAAATAGCCTCTTGACTAAACTAAATCCTACGGCGCAGATTATATAGGACTAACATTCTTCATTGCTATCATTCATCGAAAGTCTTTTAGACCTATGTAAACACATAATCTTAGCTGGAAATTGAGTCCCTCCGCCCCTTAACATCCTAGATTATAAAAAAAAGAGAATCAACAGACACCCAAAATTTTTCCGTAATAAAGATCGAAGAGACCATCACCGAGTCAAAGAAGTTTACACTCGAGCATCTCGCTACGAATTTATTTCAACACAATTAGTCCAAAGAAGCATAGATACCTCTACTGTCGATGAAATCGGCACTGTTCTTTTGTTAAACCACATTTTCGTAAACATTAGATAGATAAAAAGTTGAATACAGGGCTAAAGCTGCTACTCTTTTTGACTATTGAATAAGCGAATCTACTCCCGAATGAGTTAGATGTCGTAAATCTTATTACATTAAACGAGCAATTCTTGTATATATATATCTAACGATTTTGATGAAATTTTGTACACAGTTAATATTCTGGATTTTAAGGTTATCTGAATATACACTATCTCCGAGAAGACTCGTATGAGGTTGCCACCTATTAGAAATTTGTTACAATTTAATTAAAACATCATAATATGGGTATCAAATGGAAGGTATTTTAAAGATCTTTAACTCAAAAATATTTTTAATAGGGTTGCCACCTATTTTTAATCGCATATTTATTTCACTTTTTTGTTTAGAAAAACGGTAGAATATTAGTATTCATGGGTACCAAGAGAAGGTTCTTAAACAATGCTTTCCCTAAATACAAAATATTATCCCTAATAGTAGTGTAATAGTGTAAGGTTTCCACTTATTTTCTATTCTACACAATTTATCTAAAACATCGCAATATGGATATTAAATGAAAGGTATTGTTAAGAACTTTAGTCAGAAAATATTTCCGATCGGGGTTGCCACGCTTCTAAGTATTTAATACAAATTTGAATTTTGTTAATTTCAATCAGCTTTTTTATGTATACACAGTACATATACGCTCAAGGTATGTACCATTCATTCCAGCGTATTTCGGAATGGGGTTGCAACTTAAATTTTGGAGTAAGAAATTTACTTAAAAGATATCGAAATCCATTTTTTTCCAAAATATTTTTTTAAAGCTATCCAAATCTTGAAAACTTTAAAAAGTATATGCACTCTGGGCAAAGCTGAGTCAACCTGGTACTGCTTCATTTAACATTGAGTCTTTAGACATTTATCAAGATGTTAAAGAACTAAAGTTTTCAATGCTTCAATGCTGTTTTTTTTTTGTTGGATGCTCTGTCGGTTATTCTTCTTAAAAAATGTTCTACTTTAAGCAGGGCAATTCTGGCTAAGAGAGTTGAAAGTCTGTTGTATTTACGACAATTGAAAAACTGCAGGCAAGATAGTTTGAAAGATTTTGTTTATTCTGGCACGCTAGTCTTACAAAAAAGCTCCCTTGCGTACTTTAATGGTGAAAAGCTCTTTTAACATAAAGCACTTGTAAACAGTGTTGCCACTCACTAAATTTCCTTTGTAGCCGAAAATGTAATAAATCTGCATGAAATACAGCCAACATTTTTTCTAGTTTGTCAGAATAATAGCACCACAAGAAATTAACAAGTTTTGACAATTTTTTATTTTATTTTAAATTTACTTATTTTATTATTAAAATAAAGTCCATTCTATGAAAAAAAACACGAAATCCAGGTTCAAAATTTTCATTTAAATTTTAAACTGTTTAATTAGATTTTCTAAATGGAAGTTTGGAGTTGCTCAAAAGTCCCGTTGATTTTTGATAATTTTTTATTTTTTTGCTTCTTCCATACAAAGGATGATGCTATAAAAATGTAGTAATTTTAGAATTCATGTAGCATTGCAACTTTTCATTTGAAATTTAGCACTTTTGCTACATTGGTAGCCAAACGGCAACGCTGTTTGTAAATCATTTTGCTCGCGCTGCTCCAACAGTCGAGAGATCCGAGGTTCGAGTTCTCGGGCAGCTGTTTTTTTTTCTTTTTTAATTAAATTTACATTTTAATTTCTAGATATTATTAATTTAAAAAGAAATACATATGTATATATTTTCTAATTTCATTTAATTTTTAGAAACTCATTTTAATTTTTTCTTTTATTTACCTAGTTTTTAAATTTTAGACTTTTTATTTGCAATTTTATTTAATATTCTTCATAATTTTTTAATATATTTTTTTACTTAATTTTCTTGTAAGTTTTAGATTTTATGTGTTTAAAGAAAAATATATAAATATACATTTTTTTAATTTCATTTAGTTTTTGGGAACTTATTTAATTAATTATTATTTTACTTTTCTTCTTTTTTATTTTATTTATGAAATAATGTTTTTTAAAGAATTTTCTTTTTTAATTTCATTCAATTTTTACGAACTTATTTAGTTTTCCTCTTTATTCAATTATTTTTTTCATTTCTAATTATTTTTCTTTTAATTTTTAGACTTTATTGTTTTAAAAGAAAACAAATTTTTCAAGAGTATTGGATTTATTTCATTAATTTTTCCCTTTTTAATTTATTTGTCTTTTTTTTTGTAGTTTAATTTCCTTTTAATTTTATTGTATTAAAAAGAAAAAAATATGTATGAATATGTTTTAATTACATTTTTTTAATTAATTTTCTTTTAATTTTTAGATTGTGTCTCGAAGCTGACTTCCGTATCGAAACAGTTTGAATACCCAATAAACCCAAATGCTGTTCAATATTAAATGCAATCTGATTGTCTGAACCAACATATTTAAACGCTTTTCAAAATAGTAGCCAAGTATATACGATCCGTACGGATTTTTCTAAGGCATTGAATAATATTTCCCGCAAGATATTAATTGATACCACGATTCGTTCTTTACGCATATAAACTGCATCATCCCAAATGCTTTCGAGCATGGAGCTTTTGTTCGTCGTATAACTAAAGATTTATGTGAGCTTATTTTTCGTTGTAGGTACAGTATGCCGCATTCATTTGAAATCCATGCCAGCAAATAAACATATTAACTTGATGACATTTCGTAATAAAAGATTCATTCTCTCAATGTATTTCAAGGCCGACATCATTTCCGGCAAAATTGATTGTCCTGCCCTTCCTGGCAGAGTTAATTTTAATGCTCAGAGTAGAAATCTGCGAAGCATTGAATTAGCATGAACACGCCAATCAAAAGATCGCTTACTGATATAATAGTCGAGTTCGTTAGATATAGATCTTTCTGTAATGCGTTCGAGTTCTTAGATTAAATAAATAAATGTCGTCTGTAGCCCAGTAGTTAGAGGGGCGTATTACCTTTCCGTAGGAAATGAACTCGATCGCTAATCCAAGCAACATCTAAAATAAGAAAAAGTATGTGGTTTCTAACAGCGGTCATCTCTCTGCGGCCAATGGCAAAGTTCCGAGTGCAATTGTGTATTGAAAAGGCTTCTCATATAACCTTTAGCAAAAGTCTATATGTACCTCAAAAAATTATTTTATTTATTATAAATGTAGGATAAACCAATGACCTACCAGTTATGTATATTTATTGCGAGAAAATTTCGGTATTTCTGTTTGAGGCGTTTTGGGTGTGGTTCCTCTTGTATGATCCACCTGTGGTGCTATACACAAACGAGCTAGCCCACTAGCGAGTACACCTATGGAAATCTTCAGAAAACTTTATTTTCGGAAGTGACTTTGACTTTAGCGCATTGTCGATCACCCCATTTCGGGTTACTCCTCGATATTTAAGTGACCAGGGACCCCACAAGACACACTTTAATGTGCCACATTCTCGCCACCTCAGAGTCAAGGCGGAGGGCAATGAAGCCGCTGAATTGTGCGTGTCCCACATACTCGCGAAACGTCTTTTATGGAATCATTTTTTTGGTCTCAATTAGGATTTTTAATTTTTGACCGGCTGAATGCAAAAGCAGTGAGTGCTGGCGGTGGTGCAGTGCCTTAGATAGTTCAGAAGATACTTTAGTTGCCCTTTCGCTAAAAAGGACGTATGTAGATCTTTTAAATTAAGTTTTAATCAAGTTACTCATTGGGTTTTGGGCCATAATGGTATGTGTTCTCATGTTCACCTGCCCACAGTGTTAGAATGCCCGCTTTGGGTGAGCTTACAAAATATCTACAATTTTCTCAACGTTTCACTTTTAATACGAAAGTTATTAGAACTATTTTCGAATTTCAAGGCAACAGAAATTTCAACAAAGTAAGTGTGTAAGTCTCTGAAGTAACAAATTTTAGTAGGATCAGCCACAAAACCATGTCACAAGTGACACTTGGTAAGACACATTAACAGCAAAGCTACAAATATTGAGAAACGAATGCATTTGAAGATACCTGCACCAGCGCTCGCCATCAGAGCATGTGACATTGCGGACTGGAAAAGTAGGCCGGGAGTTGCTCTAGGCGCAACAGCGGCAAACACCGTTGCGAATGGCGAGCACTCACGATCGCAGTAGGATTTCAAATTCTGCACAGTAATATGAGTTTCGATCGAATTTTCACCACCCTCCGTCTCGGTGGTGGCGTCAATTTGCGTAACAAGCTCAGTTTCAGTTGAAGCTTCACAAACATCTTTCACAGTTAACACCTCTACTGTCTCCGTGGAGGTTTCGCGTGTCTCGTAAACCAGCGTTCCTGTTTCTGTGGTAGCTTCGCTGGTTTCAATGGCGTCAGTGTTGGTTTGATTTTCACAGGTATCCACCAACACACTGATCGAAGCATCATTAATTAGCACTGGAGTGGTTTCAGTTGCGGCATCCTGATAAAAGTCGCGCGTCGTTTGTGTGGCGCGCGGAAAGCAAAGCACTTCAGTGAGTTCCATTGTTTGTGTGCCAACGTTTGTGCCCATTTTAGCGCTCAACTTTTTAAGCAACTCTTTTTTCTTAATGCGTGTTAACATTTACAATTGTTTAAGCTAATATATATCGTACAATATTTGCTACCAAGAAATATGCTCACCTCTTCTTCTGCAAATTTCAGTTGGTCCTTCAAGTCAGACTCGCGTTCTACCGAATCTTGCAAGTCGCGCATCAATTGCAACGGTGGCTGTGGACTCGCATCCGCTGATGTAGATTTGCCGATAATACCCAACAAAGGCGTCTTTCTTTTGCCCGGATTGCGCAACTCCTCAGCTTCGGCCTAAAGAGTAATGAGATACAAACTTTTATGTAGATTTGCAATGTTGGAATAAGTTACTTAACTTGTCACACTTACTTGCAATTTACGCGTCAGCTCACTCGAAAAGCGCAGCTCCTCTTCCAGCTTAGCGACCTTAGCTAACAAATCCGAGTTGTAGCCGTTCTGCTTCTCTTGTTCCATTATCTCAACCTTGCGTTCGTATTTCTTCAACTTAAAATTTAGTATGCGACAGTTTTTCGTCATCTTCTCCAGGTCCTTTTGCAAGTTTGTTTTCGCTTTCACATCATCATCGCGATAGGTGTCTTGCAATTCATCCATTTCAGCTTGCAAATTGAGTATTTCCTTCTTTGCATCCTGATTTTCCTCCATCAACTCTTCGCACAGCTGCTCGGCCGCCTGCAGCTTGCGCTTCAACTCATACTCGTTGCCCTTCGGATTGTTCTCGATATCCTTCATGCGTATATTCAACCTACGCTTCTCTTCATTGACTTTTTCGAGTTGCTCTTTCATTTCGTTGACTTTTTGTTGCAATGCCAAAGCCTCTGAGGCTGCGGTCCGATTCGAGGCGGTGTCCATCGATGCGAGCCGACGCAACAAAATGTCACTTTTATCGCGTTCGGCACGCTCAGCACGCATCTTCATCGCTTCGTAGTCGGCGCGCAGCCGCTTTAGCTCATCCTGCAGTTCTCGATCGTTCGGACCCACCAAAGTGGTTTCAGTCGTTTCCGTCGTAAGCGAACTCGCGTCGTGCGTTTGTCTTTTTTGTGCAAACTTGCTATCCTTGATTTTCAGCATGAACTCCACATCTTGGGCAGATTTCAAGCGACGCGCCTCTTCTTTTTGTTGTTGTTTCAATGCTGTTGACGTCGTTGAAGTAGCCGCGGTCGATTTGGTAGTTGCAGAGGCGGATGTGCTCAGCGTTTTCGTTCCATTGCTTGTTGCTGCAGTCGTTTGTGCACTCACTGCTTTTGGTGAAATGCTGGCGGTTGCTGTGGAAGTGCTTGTTGAGGTGGTTGCAGCGGTGCTGGATGCCGTTGAAACCTTCTTTGGTGGCAGCGAATTACGTTTAGCAGCCGCTTCTGCCACCGATGTGCTGGATTTGCTACGTTCTGGTCGATCCGGTGGCGCTTTACTCTCAGCATCGCTGGATGAATTGTTATCACTACTTTAGTATCGGACGGAATGTTTTTTGGGGGGAAACATAAAACAAAAAGCGAGGACAAAACCAAACATGAAGCGCTAGCACATTCAATAGCTACACAGCGGCGACAAAAGCACGCATTTTAAATTTTTAACTTACTCATCGCTCTTCTTGGAAACCGAACGCTCACGACTGGATTCTCGGGAGCTCTGACGTTGCTTCTTCAGCAAATTCATTTTACGTACCCGTTCGGCGAGGCTGTCTGAGGAGAGGATAATCAACTCCTCTGGAATTGAAGAACGCGAGGGTGATGGAGTGGAGGATGACGATGTTGTCTTCGAAGAGCCATTTTCGGCCTAAATGCACGGTTGTTGGTTAAAGTAATGTAAGAAGAATAAACACTTTATAATTATACGTATGTAGCCGTTCGATTGATATAAGAAAAAGTTCCATTCTGTAGACTGGTCTAAACAAAACTAAATTATGTGTTAATCCATTCTTGCAGAAAAACTAAAAATGCCTATCTCAAAATTTTATCCCATATTTAGATAGAAATCAAAGTTTTTTTTACTGGAATAAGACTAGTTTTAGAAAGTTGAAAAGGTAATATCTCGATGTGGTATCAAACTATTGGAAAACGACGTCTATCCAGCCTAATCTTACCCCGGTTTTAATATTGGAGCTCCCGGTCTCATGAAGTTCTAAGAAACCCCCTGTACCACGTACTCAGTACTTACTTATCTGAATTTTCATACAGTTTCCATAACCAAATTTAGGCTAGACGCTTTGTGGGTCACCAACGAAGTATGGTTTTAGAAACTATAGAAAAGAGACATTGATAGTTTTTACAAGAGACACAATTCTGAGTGCGCCTGGCCGCGCTACGGAAGTAAAACTTCCTTGATCTATTTCTTAATCATTCCGTAGTCCTGATAGTTGTATGTTTCCATCTATTGAACTTAACATAACGTAAGATAGCACTCGGTTCCGTGAATTTGAAATGATCAAACAACAAATCAGAAAATCAATTTTCTTATGATTTGAATCGCTCATCTATTCAGAAATAAAATATTTATATTTGTGCTTTGCTTAGTTGAGCTGAGATAAGCTCAGGCGAGGTGAGGTGAGTTGAGATGAGGTGGTTTTAAAGTGAGGTGAGATGTTTTGAGTTCAGGCGAGTTGAAGTGCGGTGAGTAAACGTGAGTTGAGGTTCTCTTCCTTGTATACCCCTAAAGTATTTAGGTGGTCCTACCTCGGGACTGGTTCCTTACCCCGTTTTACAGGCCTGTAGGGGGTGTAGTCCGACAAATTTATTTGTCGAATCCATTGGTTTTTTGGACTTAAACTGAAATTTCGTTTGTTCTTGTCATTGATTCAAATTGAATAAACTCTTCATACATGAAAACTGACTATATTTGAAAAATTTGAAATGACTGATTCAAAATGGCGGATAAATAATTGTGGGTTTTTTCCCCAAAACTAATCGGATTAGCTCGAAACCACAAGGAACCAATCCCACAACCACAAAGCCCACCAAGAGGTATTTAGATACCCTACAAGGAAGAGAACCTACCAAGGGGCAGTCTTCGCACACGAACTTTTTTTCTGTGTGCCGATGTAATCTTTCAGCCTTCACTCTTTTAGGCAGTTCTTTATCTCTAGTGAACTACTCCTGTACGGGTCGACGAGTACTAAGCGAAAACCTCCAAATGCAAGGTCGCAAAGTCCTTCTATTTATTTTGGGTACCCAGCGCTTTTCATAATAACATCGTATAGATAGCCTCCCCGTTTGTCACTCTAGTAAAAATATATTAGATGGTAAAACAATGGACATCTTATCTAACTGAACCCATAGCGGGACTTCCACCTAACCTATCCAGTCTATTTCAAATAATAATCACAAAGCAGTTTTGTTGAGGCCCTCACTCAACACCTGAAAATACTTAACCTGCAACCGGATTCCAACATTCGCTATCGCTGCTAATTGTGATCACCAAAACGCTGCAAAAGAATAGCAGGCGCGCCTGACAACAGTAACATCTAGTTACATGCCCCTAATACTGCCAAGTTTGGCTGCCTACACACTACTTCTGTAACTTTTTCTTGTTGTATACTTTTAGGCTCAACTGCTTTCCATTTAGAAAATTTTAGCGATGAAAATTTAGCGTAGCGATTGTTGGAATTCCAATGCACACCCAGATAGATAGATAATTTTATCGAATATAATTTATGATGTCCTTTCTTGTGCCTCACATCTGCTGGAAGGGCAAGTCAACAAATAACAAATTAACATTTCATAACCCGAAGACTTACGTTCAATATGTACTTGCATTCATTATCATTATTTTACCTCCTTTATATCCAATGCTGTTGTATGCCTTCGTGGCGCCACTGGCAGCTTTACCGTAACATCCACATCGTTATCCTGCGAACGACCACCACTGGCACGTGCGCTATCCTTCTTACCCTGGTCGGCCGCCTCGTCGATGTCCGGTGTGGATGCCCATGATTGTGGACGCCGCTTAAGTTCTACATTGAAGTGAACAACTATTAGATGTGAAATGACCAGTTGTGTGTTTGGTTGTAGATATGCAGAGTGGCGTTGTTGTTACGATTTATCAAATTTATTTAAGTATTGCAATGCGATGCGATGCAGTGCAGTGCGATGCCGTGCAGTGAATCCAACGATACAATACGATTACACGTACGTTTACGTTGATTTTAGTTGGTGTGATTTGGTTATTTATTGATTAGCCAGAGACATTACGTTTACGATAACGATTACGTTAAGGAGTTATTGAAAATATGTTCACACAAAAGTTGTCGACATCCACAAAATTACAAACCACATGTTGGTATCCGCATTCAGCAGCGACGACAGTGTTTGTTTTACATATTTTAATTTTTTTTTGCAAAAATATTTGTATGAAATATTGTATACATGTAGTATTTATAGTAAAATTATGATAAATCAAAAATATTATAATGATACAGTAGAGCCGATAGTATTACGATTCATGCAGGTACTTATATTGTTATGCACATTTAAAAACTAAAAAATCGTATAAGGGTTTTCATACAGGGGATTTGCCTTCTCACATTAGCTCGTTTCCTAACGGGTGTTCTGTTGCTACTAGGGAGTTCGATTATTCGAAAAATTGCAATTAGAAAAAAACCGTTTAGCGATTTTGACATTTAGCCTTATCATGAGTTTCATTTTCCCTCAACCGGTTCACTTTTCACTTCTGGTTTCCATGATTTTACTATTGGCGGATGACAAATTTTCGGGTGAAGTTTTTTTTTTCAGGCGAAACACAGGATAAGGCAGATTTAGAAAAAAAAACTGGATAAACCGGTTTGGTTTACATAGTTTTCATACAGGGGGTTGCTTTTCATACTAGGGTGTGCGATTTTCTTTTGGCTCTTTTCCAAAACCGTGTTTTGAGTTATTCGAAAAATTGCGATTACGAACAAATCATTTCCCGATTTTGACATTAAGAAAAAACCGGATGAACCGGTTTTATTTTACGTAGTTTTCATATAATGAAAATACATTTGTTTGTATGAAGTCATACTTATTATGAAAAAGTTATTTATGAAAAAGTAAAGCAAAATAAATTCAAAGTTTTTTTAGATTTGAGTAGTGCTCTTGCCGCCGTAACTGAGTGCTTAGATGTTTCTATTGCCACTCGAGAGGTCCATGGTTAAATTTCTGGTCCCAACAAAATGAAGAAATTCCAATAGCAGTCGTCCTCGGCAGATAATGGCAAACCTCCTTCGAAGGTGAAGTAAAAGTGTCGATCTCTCCACAACACCAAGAAGCAAAATACGAATTCGAGGAGAAGCTCGGTCAAACACGTAGGAAACATTTAAGCGCCAACATTAATTTATTTGAATTAAATATGATAGTAAAATTTTAGGGGTTTTCCTTAACTGGAAAGAGCCTTAAAAACTTTGAAAAACTCAAAACTTTTATTGAGAGGTCCAGATTTGAGTGAAAATACTCCGGCTTATTCCGTATTCGAAAAGTCAAGATTTTTTTAATCCGCCTATACATATAAAAAAAAAAAACGGTGGAAACCCGATTGGAAAAACCGAGTTAAAAAAAATTTTGCACACTTAATTATACTCGAAGCCGACCCGGAATCAGTCATAATTTTCCATGATACAAAAAAGGAGGGTAGTTTCACTTTGAAATTTTTTGACATAAACTGTGCTTATAACGTTTATACTTTTCGTAAATTGCTCGAGCATCACTACCACCTTAACAAATTATTGTTTTGGACATTTTATTATTTTTTAAAGGAATTTTTTATGCATTAAAAAATAACAACACATAAGGCAAATTTACTTAATTTATCGTATTAGCATAGTTGTTAATAAGTGTGTATTAATTTTAAATACCTTAAATTACCTTACCGCAAAAAAATTTGGCATTATATGCAGTGTTCCATGAGATATTATTATAGATATTAGGATGTTGCTTTAATTTGGATCCTTTTTAGAGGACATATGAACAAAGGAATAGTTAAAAAGTAGCTTATCGTCAATGAAAGCACTATGGAAGCATAAACTTAGAGGGAGGTAAACAAATTTACAAATTCTTAGAGCTCCTTGTTATAGTTTATAAACAGATAAACTACTCGCTCTACTGCTGCTGGTGCAGCGTTTCGCTTAAATTGGGCACATCCGTGCCGAGGCTGAAAAGTTTCCACCGAAAAGTGGTTGGAACAAGCAAACAACACGTTGGTGAAGTTACCATGCACGCGGCCATCCCGAAATATGCAGCTAATCGTACTAAATAATGATGAAAACAATTGCATAAACAAATAGATTATCTATGTGCATTATGCAATGTAATACGAGTATTTTACTTGTCTTCCCTTTTATAATTAATTTTAGAAGTAAACCACTAAAAGCTCGCTATAACATGATGCTCAAAATATATTCCTTGAAATAATTTTTGAAATAATTCTTTCTGAAGTAAAAAAAAAACACTTTTTAGTTTCTTCAAAGAATATGGTAGCTTCAATTTAAAATAAAACATCAAAAGCACAGTTTACGTCAAATGCGAGCAATGGCGGTTAAGAAGAAGAAGTCAAACTACCTTTAAATATTTGTATCATGGCATATTAAACAAGGTAGAAGTGATTTTGACATTTCTCATTTTCAAGTTAGCATTTTCTATTTTTCGAGCGTTGCATTGTGTGGAAAAAGGTGGGATACTTTAAGGCGCCTAGTTGCGAAGTTAGAAGACTTGGTTGCCTGAAGAACGCGGAATTTCAGAACTGAGTAAGGGTAGTTTCTTACAATATTATGCACACATAACCACGTCAGGACCTAGATTTACACTGATATACATACGTATGTAGAAGAAAACATTAAATCTTTTTTATATAAGTGCGGATGTTTTTTAGAAGTAAATATTTAAATAAGAAATAATAAATATTTAACTAAACGCGCAAAAACATTGGGCGAATAGAACCAAAAAATTTTTAAAATAGTTTCATAAAACATTTATTTCATTTAATGACGTGGTTTCCTTTATGAGGTATTCTTTTCGGTCCATATGTATATGTGCATATAAGATGCGAATGCAGCTAAAATTCTTTGAAGATAATATTGAATGTAATCCTTAAAATTCGTATACGTACATACATATGTATGTACTTATGCTGATGCATTTCCATGGTGAAATTATAAGCAGGTGAAGTAATAAAAAAGCTTTCTCGCTTTGTTTTCCTGACATGCGGCTTATACAAAATTTTAAAGGCAAATTTTCAAATAAGTTAGAATCAAATCTTTCATCTCGCTTTTATTACTACACCTGGTATAATTTCACCATGATGAGTTTCAATTGATGTCAATTTGTAGCAAAGATAGCACTCGCACCTCATAGGGTTAATTTTTTTGTTTACAGTTTTTGACATTATAACTAGCTGCAAAAGTGTTCCAGCTAGTTGTCACTTCTACCTTATTAAATATGCCTTGGTTCAGACAAAAAAGAAAAGAACCAAACTCATTAGTTGTGTTAGTAAAATTTAGAATTTTACATGCTTATGATGTACGTATGTTTGTATTTAATTAGTATGGAAATATTTACATGGCTTATGAGACACAAATCTACGTACATAAGTATATATATTATATGCATGTAAGTATTTATGTCATTTTGCGTAGCTTCAAAAGTCAAAAATTTAAGCCAATTGAAAAAAAAATAAACGATTTTATCGAAAAAAGGGTTCACAATGACAACTTTAAATTTTCAGAACTCATTTTCATACCAATATCGTTGCTACTCCCCGTGCCATTGAACGAAGACAAATTATGTGTAGATGTCCATGTGCGTGATGATGGTCTGTAGAGAAATGTATATTTTTTTTATTTTTTTGTTATATGCTTACTAATTTTTTGTTCCTTATTTACCTGGAATTTCCGCCGTCAGTTAAGTTTGGTGATGAGACGGCCACATCTTCGATACCCCGCCGGCCGCCATGCTCTTTATAGTCACGAAAGCAACGTTTGCAGCGTGTTGGATAGCGGGTCTGGGGATGAAACCCCAGCGGACACAATTGGTCACCTTTTAGTGACGGATACAGATGATGCATTTAAATGGAAAATCGTTGTGAAAACTAAAATCTCCAATTTAAAGCTGAAAGAAGAAAAGGTTTTTTTTTTATATTTTAGTAGAAATCTATGTGCATTGATTCAGCAGGCATAAGTTAATTAATTGGCGGCCGCTGTGTTGTAGTGGTTAGCCGTGCGCGCTACTACTCCGCAGGGCCTGGGTTCAAGCCCGGTTCAACCCAACATCAAAAAATAAAAAAAGTTGTTTCCATAGCGGTGCCAATCATTTTTCTAGGTAAGGTCACTTGAGGGATTTTTTTCAATTTCAAATTTCCCCTCACAAATTTTTGAGTACTAAATTAATTTATTTCACAAAAAAAATATTTGGCATGCATTATTTTAGTAAAAAATACTAAAATAAAACCATATCAACAAATATGCTGGCTGGGGTTACTCATACGCCCCGGCAAACGGCTGCACCATGGGCGTCACGGACTGGGAAAAACCCTCGTATAGCAGCAAAACTAAAAGTCACAGGCATATTTTTTTCCTAATGTTTTGTAATGTACAAACAAAAAATTTATTTTGGTTGTTTTGTGCCGTGCACAGTGGTCGGAGAAGCAATGTTTTAGCGAAAAATCAGAAGGGCTGTTGCGATTAAAATAAAATGCGGGATTGTAGTACTGTTGTAAAGCTAAATCCGAATATGAGATAAAATTTATAGTTTGACAATTGACAGCTGTCAACTCCAATGCAAATTTTTCTAAAACTAAACTATCTTTTAGAAAATACCACTGATTACGTTTTTTTGACATGCTGATCACGAATTTCATGACAAATTAAACTCTTGACAGTTGACAGCTGTCAAATGGATTGTGAGTTTTTCTAAAAATAAGACAATCTTTTTAAAAATGCCACTGACTAGGGTTTAAGATATGCTGATCACGAATTTTATGTCAAATTAAAACTTTAAGAGTTGACAGCTGTCAAATAAACTTTTAATTTTTCATGAAAGCAAATATTTTTTAATATGCTACTGATAAGGATTTTAGACACGCTAGTCATAATTTTACGCCAAATTAAAACCTTGAGAGCTTACAACTGTCGGAGGGGGCTGTCATTTTCTCTAGAAATAAAGAAAATTTCGCAAGAATTATTTAAACGTATTATATTTCTGTGTTCGTATGGAACAGTAGCTTATGTCGAAAGGCTGGCTTTAGTATAATGCGGCATTCGCAGCATACGATTGCGAATGACTCACTGGGACCGAGCCGTTGAAGAACTTTTGGCAAATAAACGTACATAAATAGTTCGGATAATAGGAAGTCAATATTTTAATTAAGTCTCATCAAAACATTCATTGCCGTTTAAAGAATAAAGGTAATGCCACATTATACTAAAGCGAACACAGATTTTAGGGCTCACTGATCTTGAGTTCTGTATCACATTGAAATTTTTTCGGTTGACAACCATCAAATCGAATGTCATTTTCAGTTGAGTAACACAGAAGCCATTTGGATTTGGCATGTTGAATTTTTGAAAACTGGTTCGAAAGTTTTAATGAGCGAACTTAAGATCTTCTAAATACCAAATTTCATGAAAATTGCAGGGAGCGTAACAATTACAACTTTTATTAAAAAAATCGCTCTTTAACAATTATTTTTAGAATTTTATTTCATTACTCCTTAAATAACAATTTTTATTTATTATCCTTAAATAACAATTTTTATTTATTTATTTTTTATTTTATAAATCAAAAATAACAATTATTTTTGATTTTTATCTAAATAATCTGCAAATAAGAGTTATTTTTGATTTTTAAATTATATATCTTAGATAACAGTTATTGAAGACTTTTATTTATAAAAGTCATCAATATAAATCAGTCGCTGACTTTTATTTTTAAATCATACTTATAAAAGTTATTTGTATACATAAGTCTTAGAAAACTTTGGTTCACGTTCTTAACTACGAAAAATTATAATGACTTACATTTTTTCCATTTTTTGAAAATATAAGTTATATCCATATTTGTATTGTTAAATTGACTGTTTACTTGGTGACAAAGAAATTCAAGTCATTTCAAGTCATGAAGATATTTTTAAGCCCTTATATCCAACTCCTCCGAAGATTCCCTACTTAAAATGGGAAAATTTAACTCAACTTCTACCATTTACACCACCTATTCATCAAGATTTTTATTTAAATATTCCCCATGAGACAAAAACGAACAAAAAAAGTTCTAAGAAGCAAAGTCAAAAGACGATTATAGTTCAAGAAGAAAATACAGAATCATATAAAGCCCACGGCAGCGTTTTGTCAAATTACGATGATTAGATATATTTTAGTAGAGTTAATGTTGTATATTATAACTTTTTTACATAATAAAATGTAGACAAAAATAAGCTTTTCCATTAACCTGCATTAATTTTGGCAAGAATCATTAATAAGTAATCAACTTTAACCTTAAGTATCTGAAAACAATGTCAGACTTACTCAAAAAAGGATCTGATTCTAACCCCTTCATATAATATTAATATCAAAAATAACTGTTTATTTAGATAAAATAAAAAATAATTGTTATTTTGGGTTTATAAAATAAAAATCAAAGTTGATAGTTTTTTTTTTATTGATACTTTTATAGGTTGTATGCGTAGCTTTTCGGCCGGTAAAATCAAAAGGCAAAATTTATTTTTCCTTCTCTCTCCTACGCATTTCTGTGTCCTTCATGTTATGTTTTATGTTTTCAATAAATATCAGACTCCCTGATGAAGGCGTGAAGGACGACGAAATGCGAAGGAGAGAGAAGGAAAAATAAATGTTGCCTTTTGATTTTACCGGCCGAAAAGCTCCGCGTACAACCCAATAGAAAATTGAATCACTGGCCCTAGAAAAGTATAAACTCAATTTAATCGGAAAGCAAAAACCGATACAACAAACATACATAAAATATAGAACACAATATAAAACACATTAGAATACATTCGATTTAAATATGACCAGGTTACTTGCTACACCATCAAGCAGCATAACAAATATTATGAAAAACTAATAAAACAAGAACAATGGCTTAAGGTTTTACAACATTGTAAAGATTTCGGAGCAACTCTCCACATTTAACGGGTAAATTAAATGGAATTAAACATGGGTGCCAACCAGCAGTCACTCGAAAAGAGCAGCAGAGAATAGAAGAGCAGTTCATATCAAAAATTCTAAATCTGGAAATAAAAGAAGCCAACATCCAAATAAAATTTGTTAGAACAAACATAGAACACATTGAGAGAGAAAGACCTACACAAAAAACTTGAGGAGTACGATTTTAACCTGCTAGCAGAAAAGCAAACTCAACTTACGAAGGAAATAGCTTCTTACACAAGAAAAAATTTCGGGGAAAAAGTGCAAAGACAAATTAACAAAAATTTTGAAATATATGGGTTTGTGATTAATAAAGATTTGTTCATAAACAAAACCAGAATCGCAATTCCAAAGAATGCTGCTGGCTCCTCTCCCTGGGGAAAAAATTTGCTCTCCCTGTGTCACGGAAAACTTTCTTGCCGGTTCACTTAGAAGAGCAGGGAATTCAGAAAATAAGGGAGGATAGAGAAAAATATACTGCGAGATGCAATATAGCTACCAACATAAATACATACAAAACAAATTTAAGAGTAACAAAAAAGAAAAATTCATACTTAAGATTTTTGAGGACACAAAACGGTTTATAAATTAATACAAGGACTCTATAGTGATTACCAATTCGGAAAAGGGAAATAACACTGTGATGATAGACAAAATATAATCTAAAGAAAAAGGAAAAATCTACTAAGCGACAAGGATATATATAAAACGTAGCGGATAGATCCAACCCAAAAATTGTTAAGGACAAGCAATACAATAGTAAATGATATTTAGAAACAGAAAAATATTGACAATTATCAGAAACGCCAATTGATATGCAATGCAGCTACAGCACATAGATTATATCGACTCCCAAAAATACATAAAATAAATACATCCCTGAGACCAATATCTGTTTCAACCAATGTTCCCTGCTACAGATTATCAAAATTCATTGAACAAACCCTTAAGAAAATAGTCGCCGACGACTACAACGTGTACAGTTCATTCCATTTTAAGGAAAGTTTAAAAAGTATTAGGCTTGAAGAAGAGGAGATCCTCATCTCTTACGATGTGGTGTCTTTGTTTACCAATATACCAGTACATATGGCAATGCGAACAATTATGCAAAAATGGGCTTCGTTGCATAGCAATACCACTCTATCTAAAAACCAATTTGCAACAGTCCTTGAATTCTGTCTCCGAGACAACAATTATTTTTTATATGCCGGAATATACAATCAGCAGGTACATGGAATGCCCATGGGAAACCCCCTATCGCCCACCGTAGCTGACATTTTTCTGGACAAAGCACTGGACGACAGCATCGCTGAATTAAAATCAAAAGACATATATGTATACCAAATACATTAATAATTATGTAGGTGATATATTCGCCATTGTAAAAAGACGTGACGTGGAAGAAATACGAAGAATACTTAACTCACAACATAACAAAATCCAGTTTTCCACAGAGTTAGAAGAGGCAAAAAAGTTAGCTTTTCTAGACGTGGAAATTCACCACTTGAATGGAAAAATAAGAACGAATTGGTATGCTAAATCCATAGCATCGTCTAGAATGATAAACTACCATTCGAACCACCGCTGGTCCCAAAAAAGAAATACAGTGGTTAACCTCATCAACAAAGTCTACGTGTTAAGTGGCCAGGAGTTCAGCAAAGAAAATACGATGAAAATTAAGAACGTATTGCATAAGAACGAGTATTCAAGCAAAATAATTAAAAGTTTAAGAGCAACAACAAGAAATAAATAAAAATCAACATAAATGAACATGGAACCCGATAACCGAAAAGAAAACAAACAAAATTTTATTGGAGTCACATATATACAAGGACTAACTGGCAGCAAAACATTGCACAAAACTATTAAATACATAGCACACTTAATAAAATGTTTACCAAAACAAAACACGGAATAGATAAGCGACAACAACATAATGTGGTGTATGAA